TAGTGAAGGGATGTCAAACTTGATTTCATTGAGGGCGGCATCAGGGTTGTGTTTAACCTCAGGGGGAGCGGGGGGGCATGGTCAGGGGGACGTGGGTGGACAGCTCGAAGTCACTCGTGTCAGGGGCACCTGTGGTGGCCAAGTGCTAAGGCAGGACTTCTCTCAGACCCTCCCTCACTCTCATTATAATCTATCTTTCTTCCTTCCTTCCTTCCTTCCTTCCTTCCTTCCTTCCTTCCTTCCTTCCTTCCTTCCTTCCTTTCCTTCCTTCCCTTCCCTTCCCTTCCCTTCCCTTCCCTTCCCTTCCCTTCCCTTCCCTTCCCTTCCCTCCCTTCCCTCCCTCCCTCTTCCTTCCCCTTTCTTCTTCCTTCTTCTCTTCCCATCTTCCCCTTTTTTCTTTTTCTTTCCTCTTTCCCTTTCTCCTTTCCTGTCCCTTCTTGCATACTCAAATGCAAAAGGGGAAACATTTCTCTTTTTCTTTTAGTTTGTTTTGCTAGCCCTCTGCCAGTGAAAATGGAACCCATGGGGGCCGTTTGTGTGCCCTGGGCCCTGTTTTCAGTCACAACAGCCTCGTGCATCCCTCTGCCAGCGAAAATGGAGCTCAGGGTGGGGGTGAGCGTCCTGTGATTGTAGCTCGAAGTAGAGTCTGCTTTGCTTCTTGCTTTATGTTCATTGGAATTTGCTTCCATGCATCTCTGCATGGATTGGTGCTTCAGATCTTTTCTAAGATCCAACTTCTAAAATATATTAGTTGCATCTTTACAAGTCCATTCTAAACTATCTAACTGCCCATTGAATGTTGACTGAGGAAAAGATCCCACAATGTTTGTAGAAAATACATTGTTTAAAAGAAAAGGAAATGGTATTTTTCTAGTCATGGGTAACCACTATAAAGTCTTACTTTATTTGATGCAGGATAGATATGTGGTAGGTGGAGTTCCATCCAAGGATTTAGCTGAATTGGCCAGGGGACTGTTTCTCCGGTCCTCCAGCCTCTGTTGCCTTAGGTGGCTGCTTCACTTTGCCTAATAATAGGAGCAGCCCTTAAGTGAGGTGTAGCACGTTAGGTACCTTATATATCCTGCCTACCTGTTCTTTTGCAACGCCTCCTTAGCCTCTAGTTTGGAAACTTGAGGAGGCAAGTATCTTTTAGGAGGCTGGAGATTATATGATCATTTTTAATATTAAATAATAGCATGCTTATGTGACTGCTTTGTTCTCATATTGTATTTGAGTATTGAATTTTGAAGCAAAAACATGAAACATGAAGCAACTTCAATGCAAGACATCCCCTTTAAACTGCATTTTATGGGATAGCTGTGATGTTGTGAAATATGAAACTGCCTGTGCCTCTTTCCCTTTGGTCATGGGCACACCTTCTGGGTGAAACCAGCCTGTCGAAAACTTCTTCCCAAACGCCCTTGTTAATTTATGCAGCTGATTCATCAAGCAGTATTGCTTGTTCAGCTATTTGGGCTTTTGTAATCTTGTCTTTCTTTTTCTGGCATCTTTTCCAAGCCTTTTGTTTCTCACCCTTTAAAAAACGTGTGGTTCTCCCCAAAATATTGTAGGTACCAATTTTATTATTCTGAAGATAGGGTTCCATATTTGGGCATATCTGGATGGTTACTAGATGGCTGCCAAGGGGGTAACTCTATGGAAATAACTCTTTGCTGCCATCTAGTGATTGTCCAGTTTTTTAAAGCTCATATATTATAGCTTTAGTGCTACAGAGTGCAGGGAACAAGGATATCTTGGCCCTATTATATTGCACAAGATGGATAAGCACGAATAGTAAAATACGTGCGTGAAGGGCCCAATTGATGCAATCACAATAAACTATTGCTAAAATCCACCCATTTTAGGTTTATGCTTCCTTTGAACAATACTCCTCCTCAGAAAGAAAAAAATTGCCATGTCATACATAAATAAATTCATATCTATCACTCTATTCTTTATTAGGACTAGCAATATTAAGCAAAGTACAGAAAAGGGTTTCACTGGAGAAATGTTTGAAAGTATTAGCAGTAAAAGGAAACCAGACTGTCAAAGAACATGATGGCTGGGCATTATCAAAGCTGACACCAGCCGGAGTATAGAAAAATTCAAAGAAATAGTTCAAGATTGGAAGATGTGGAGAGACCTGGCCCATAAAATCATAATGAGTTGGACTTGATTAATTGGATAACATCATCATCATCATCATCATCATCATCATCATCATCATCATCATGATAGAAAAGGAGTAAGAAATAGTAAGCCGAAGAAATTAAAATCATATACACAAAAGAAAAGGACATTTAGGTAAAGATAATTTATAGTAACCTCATTCACTACCCCTCTCCATTCTTTTCTATCCTAGTAAATCATTCATGCTTCCACCATGTCTATCCACAGGTTCATAGATTGCTTTTTTTATTGGTTAAGAATAATCAACAATGTGAAGAATAAAAACCAGCTTGCCTCATTTACCTGCTAAGAGTTTTGATTTTTCTCTAATAATGGAATGTTGGAAAAGCAACCCACTCCTCCCTCTGCAGTTGAGACAGTATATGTCAACAGAACATTACCATTTGATTATATTGATTGGAAAAGATGAATGAACTACAGTACCAATAGAAGATAATATTTGTAACTCAGGATTGAACAGTGGAGTTCTTGGTGCTCTTTGAGCTTGGTTGCTTTCTTGCAGACTTTTCAAGTTGGGTAATGAAATGTCTGCAAGAAAAGTACCAAACTCAAGAGAGCACCAAGGACTCCACAAAATGAATGCAATTTAGAGTAAATATGGGTGCTGAAGAAGAAAGGTTAGGCAAACACAATAAGTGAATCTGATGAGCTTCCCAGTTTCCTTCAGTCATCTATGTAACTTCCATGAATAAACCATCTCGTTGGGACTATGATTTCAAATGTTTCAGTCTGCATGGAGAAAATGAAGGTCAGTTTTTTTTTCAAGTCCAGTCTTTTTGAATTGCTATCAGGTGCATGTTATAAGAATTGGAGGATAGCTGATCCACTTATTATGTTTCACTAAACTTTTCAAACCTGACACTTTTTAAGTATTTCACATTAGTGCTTTGACTCTAAGCACAGTTTCTCAGAAATTGGTTTTAGTAAAAAGACTGGAAACAGAGTCACAGAAAGAACTACAAAAAAGAAATTAAAAAAAAACAAATGGAACTGATAAAACAAACTCAATTTAATGGAAACAGAAGAACTAGCACAAAAGATTAAAAGAGCAAAACAAAACTACTTTGAAAATGCCAACAAACCAGGAAGATGGTTAGCATAATTAACATTCTAATGTAAGACTCTGTTTTAATGTTTTAAATTAATTATAATCTCTGCTGTTGCTAAACTGTAAGCATTATTCTTTAAATAGGGATCATTTTACTTTGAAATATCGAAGTAAAAATTACACACAAGAATCATACTACATTATAGAATTGTAAGGAGTTATTTAGGCCATGGAATCCAACTACTACTCAGTGCAGGAATCCAGATTCAAGCATCCCTGAAATATGTTATTTGAATACATCCAGTGAAGATGAGCTCGGAGATGAGCTTGATCGATTGTTGAGTAATTATTCTATGTTCTATACTCTGAAATGTTAGAAGACAGGGCTCCCATCTATGAGTCATCTTTTTAAATATGTGGAGAGTACTACAATAACGCTACACCAGTTTTGGGTAGTGGTTAAGGCATCAAGCTAGAAACTGGGAGACTATGATTTTTAGCCCCACCATAAAGACATGAAAACAGCTGGGTGACCTTGGACCAGTCACTTTTTCTCAGCCCTAGGAAGGAGGCAACGGCAAACCATTTCTGAAAAACCTTGCCAGGCAGGGACTTGACCTGTCCCTGAGAATCAGACATGATTAAATGGAAGAACAAAAAAGAAACAAAAAGAAAAGTTTTTCCCCAGTTTTTTCTTCTAAAAATTAAGTTTCCCAGTTCTGCAATTTCTCTCTCTCTCTTTTTTTAAAAAAAATTGATTTATATGCTGCCCTTCTCCGGAGACTCAGGGCAGCTTACAGTGCGTTAAGCAATAGCCTCCATACTTTTGTATATTTTATACAAAGTCAGCTTATTGCCCCCACAAACTGGGTCCTCAATTTACCTACCTTAGAAAGGATGGAAGGCTGAGTCAACCTTGAGCCTGGCAAGATTCGAACTTACTTTAATTGCAGACAGCTGGTGTTAAATTACAGTGCCTTGTCTGCAGAGCTATCCAGGCTCTTCATATAACTCATTTTTTAGCTCTTGAAGAGATAGGTAGGTAGGTAGGTAGTAGGTAGATAGATAGATAGATAGATAGATAGATAGATAGATAGATAGATAGATAGATAGATGATAGAGATACTTTAACAATATAGATTTTCCAATGTACATTTAGGGACTAAAGCAAGAATGTCTAAAAGTACTTGAATTTGGGATGAATCTGCTTGATTGATGATGATAATAATATTATAAACACTGATTGTACCTTTTATTTGTGATATACACTGCTCAAAAAAATAAAGGGAACACAAGCAGAAGACATCCGAGATCTGAATGAATGAAATAGCCTTATTAAATACTTTGTTCGTTACATACAGTAGTTTTGTGTTCCCTTTAGTTGTTTGAGCAGTGTATAAACTACTGTATGTAAAGAACAAAGTATTTAATAAGGCTATTTCATTCATTCAGATCTCGGATGTCTTCTGCTTGTGTTCCCTTTATTTTTTTGAGCAGTATATTAATATATTGATTGATTTATTATTGAATTTTATGGTTATAAACCCATTAGAGACTGACATAAAAATGACTTAGCATACAAGCATTTATAATAAATAAAATAAAAAATACTTTAATTAGAATTACAGAAAACAAATATATGGCAGAAATGAAAAGTGGTTAATTATCCTTCTATAAAAGCTTGGTTTTCTGTATATTTGTAAAGTGAACTGTACTTCTCTGAACTCAGAATATTTAGAATAATAATATATTTTTCTTGCAGTCTTGCTTTTCACGGAGATCTTGATGGTCTGCTGGCATGGCATTTAGCTGGGGTAGATCTGAATCAAACTGGTTATGATGGAAACACTCCAGCTAACGTGGTAAGAATGACTGTGGATGACTATACCTTATATTCCAATTTAGGTTCTAGATGCAGGGAATATTGCTAGGTCATGCTCAAAGCCTTAAAAGAAGCTTTTTCAGATGTTTTAATGAGAATCACATTGAGGGAGATTTTGCAAGACCAACTGTAGATGAGTTACATCTGTTCCATGTAGTTAACTTTCATGGATGACTGGGGCAAATTCAGTTTGATAGTGCTGCCTCCAAATAAAGAGAAATAGTTGGGCCAGCAAGTAAGAATTACATTGCTCAAATGGGTAATTGCCATGAATTTTATGCAAATACCTATACAATTGCAGTGTATGTCTCTGTATGTGTGCATATGTATAGAGGGAAAGAACTGCCGTCTAGCCATAGCCTTAATACAGTTAATGGAATTAACCTTTCTAATTAAGTGTGTGTATTATATGTAGATTATTTATCTATTTTTCATGCGTCTCCTGCTAGCACAGCTGAAAGAGGTTTCTAGCCCATGTAGCATAATATGTAATAAAGTCTCAGAAGAAATAAATAGCCATAAGAGTGAATAGAAAATCAGATGACCAAGAAAAATAAAATGACTCACTTTTTTTTCTTTTGAACAATGGGTGTCTTTCAAGCAGTCCTCAACTCTTGGATGGGGTGTAGCTAGACAATATAATTTTAAACTTGATGAAATAGAAACATTGATCCAATTTTTCTAAAGTTTCAAAGAATGTAAAATTGTTCCTGGGAAGGTATTAAGTATTGAAGAATTTTGGAGCAGAGCCTTGACTGGACAATAAAACAGGACAATGCTTATAGGAACATATTATAATATTGAGGAGCCCTGATGACTAGTGATTAGAATGCAGTATAGCATGCAAACTCTTCCCACAGCCTGAAGTTTGATCCTGACAGGGCTCAAGGTTGATTGAGCCTTCTCTCCTTCCCAGGTTAGTAAAATGAGGATCCAGATTGTTGGGGGCCATATGCTGACATTGTAAACCACCCAGAGTGTCTAATTGTTATTGCCACTGCTATTGCTATGTGTATGGAGGATATACAGTATATGTAAATTTTGCACTCAAGTCAGAAGCACCAAGGTACTTCTGGGTTGAAAGGATTAGCCAGTGACACCACCATTGCCCTGGGAACACCCAGTTGGGGGTTCTTTTCATGTCCCCAACAGGACTTGGAGTGCAGGATGAGAGCTCAGCCCTTCCCCATGGCAGCTCTCAGGTCTCGAACCTGAGCTTGTTAAAGTTCTGCCCAATGTTCCAATCATTTGAGCCACCATGCTCCTTAGGGTATGTAAATGGGATGGTGCTTACTGGCATTGCAATCTTTTTTTTTTCTCCATAGGCCAAGGCTGCAGGGCATGCAAAAGTCATCGAGTTTTTCAATAAATTGGCATCCTGAACTTGGTAAGTTTTTTTTTTAAAAAATGAGCATTTATCGTTGTACATCATTTGGTCATGCAGCACAATGTGGAAAATGGGATGAGTGAGGTCATGATCCTCTGCTTTGAGTTTGTCATTTTGCCACTGACTTTTACAGTAATCGTCAGCAAATAGGCTTGTTTCTCTGCTTGAAGAATGATTTGAGTATAGAAATGGCTGAGAGTTAAGACACTTGAACCAGAAGAATGTTTTAGGCATGTTTCAGTTTCAGTAAAGACAAATGTGATGTAAATACAACTCATAGTACATTATTTGGCTAACCTGCAAGCACTTTGTAGTTTCAATTATAGACCTGTGCATAAATAAATTAATAGCAACTAATTTGCTTCTCAGTCTTGTTCTTTCTCAAATCTTCAGGCTTTGTTTTATTACTTCCAAAATGATTTAAAATGATTTTTAAGTTGCTCTGGAAATTAGGGAAAAGGTTTTTTTTTGTGCAAGAATAACCAATCTGTGTAATGCAGATTTTTTTTAAACTTCAACTTACAGTAGCTTACTTTTTTTTCCGGTTTCGCAGTCCATCTCTAAAAAGGACATTTATGTTTGCGCTGAATTCCATGAGAATGTTTTCAGACCAGTCTTATTGCTCTGAGTTATTATCCTTTATTCACACACTAGAGGACCGAAAGTATTCAGAGTCAGGAGTATTTATAAGAACAGCTGATTCTTTTACTTGAACAGTAGTATTTTCAAAGTTAACCATAAGTTTTATTTCTATGTATTAATAAAGAGCTCAGAAAACATTGGTATCTGTAGTCAATTTATAAGCAGAATAAACTTTGAGTGAGAACAGATCCCTAAATTAAGCAGCCAGGATTTAACTACATAGATGCATCACAGAATTGCAAAGTTTCTTTTATACAAGCACACATTTTTTCTATCCTTCATCCCCAAATCCCATGTGAAATTGCTGCTTTTTAACTCTTTTCCCAACCGAAGATCACAAGACTCTCTCTCTCTTTCTCTCTCTTCCTCCCTCCTCCCTCCCATCAATCTGTCCGTCCGTCTGTCCAGACGGTTTCCAAATCAGCCTTGCTCAAATTTGTATGCTCCAGATTTGCTGGCACTAGAGCTATTGAAATTGGTTGTGTTGGGTGGGAATTTTGTATATTGTATTCCTCCCACAATTATGTGTGGAAAGGACTATTCCTGAGCATTATCTGGGAACAGACAATTTGGGGATACGGTGAGGGTTTAAACCATTTTGGAATAATCTAGTTTGCTTTCTTAGATCAAGGATGGTGTCTCTCCAAGGTTTTATTTTTAAACAAGATTTAGCAAGATTAGTCTACTTCTTGAAACAGACTTTGGGATACTTCTTTTTTCTAATCTGTACAAAATTATAAAAGTACTTCCTTTTCCACTTGAAACTCTGAATCCTGGTACAGTGTATGTACTATCCCAGATCTCCAAGGTGGTCAGTTTTGAAATCAACAACTTCAGACAGGAGGTCTCTAGAATCAAATCAATTATGTTCCTCAGCTTTTTAGAAGGGCAACAGTGGGCATCACGTTTGTTTTCCTAGCTACTTAGTTAAACTTTCTGGTAATGTACCCAGACAGATTTAAATTCTGAATAAAATGAAATGAACAGGGATTTTAAAGAGTATTGTTGTGGATCTGTGATTAGCTGAAATTCCCTCTTCAGGGCACACTTGCTGACAGCTCTCTTTTTCTTTATAGCCATTTAACAAAGTCTGCAAAATCCCCATTGGGGTTTCAGGTTATTAGAAAAATGGCTCCTTCCATAATGTGGAACAAGTTTCACATTGCTTCAGAGGCATGATGAAATGTTTTCTACTTTTCTCTGGATATGAAATAGTCTTCAAGCCTCATAGGCAAAGTTTCTAGCATACATGTTTGTATATTATGTTGATATATACATAGATATCAGCATTTTAATAGTTGTCTATTCCAGCAACCAAATTGTCAGCAACATTTTTGCACTGGAATTATTTTGCACAGATATTTTGACAACGGCTGTGAAATATGAAACAATCAAGGAAGGTTTTATATATATATAAAACATTTCTTATATAACAACATTCAAGTAGACTCAAATTATTCAGAAAGGAGAAAAGTAATTTTGAGGGTGTTTTATGTTCTCAGCTTGAGAAGTAAATATTTTCTGGAATGACTAGGATGAGAAAGCAGACTCACAGATAAAAACCAAACAAGAAACAAAACAAAAAAATGCAGTAGAAGACAAAATGTAGCATTTCAGAAGATCCTGATAGAGTCAAGTACTACATTGCAATTCAGATAGTCCTTGATTTACAACCATAACTGAGCCCAAAATTTCCATTGCTAAGCATGGCAGTTGTTAATTGAGTTGTGCCCCATTTTATGACCTTTCATGCCACAGTTGTTAAATGAATCACTGCAATTGTTAAATGAATTATGTGCTCATTAAGTGAATCTGGCTTCCCCATTGACGTTGCTTGTCAGAAACCAACTGGGAAAGTTGCAAATGGTGATCACTTGAGCCTGGGACAATGGAACTCTCAAAAATACATGCCAGTTGCCAGGGGCCTGAATTTTGATCACATGGCCATGGGGATGTGACAACAGTTGTTAAGTATGAGAACTGGTCATATGTCACTTTTTTCAGTGCCATTGTAACTTCGAATGGTCATTAAATGTATGGTTGTAAGTCAAAGACTACCTGTAGCTATTTTAGGCAGATATTAAGACTAGGAAGGTATTGTTTTATAGTAATACTCAGACAACTAACCTTCTCTCTCCGTCTCTGTCATTTTTTTCAAAACTTTAGATACATGATGTTCCTTGGTGACTGTAAGGAAGAAAGGCAAACAAACAACTACAACCGATTGGAAAAGGCAATTGAATGCTTATGATGTTTAGGATTAACTTAGTATGGAGATTTCTTTTTTATATCTGACTTTAAAAAAACACACCCAAATCCTTATTAAAAGAAATAGTCTGCCTATAAGGATATCATAGATCCAAAATGTATTCCCATAATAGCCTGTCAGATTGTATTTTGCTTTCAGGAAGTAATACATGATACCGAATCAAACTGTAGTGTTCATTGGTAAAACTAGGACTTGAAACCTTTGCTGCTGCTGCTCTTCAATTTTTATTACCTCAATATACAGGACTATTGTTCCCATTATCCCTAGTCACCATAGGCAGTACTAGGCCAGGATGGGAGGACTTCAGATTCAGAAGGGCTATGTTGCACTCAGAGCAATGCTCCCTGCCACTGAGATCTCTTGAGCTCTTTGCTGTGGTAGATAGTGTGAATCAACCCTTCTTAATAAAATGTAGAATTACTTAAAAGTGTATAATTCTACCTTTAGCATTCTAAGAAACAACGTGATCAGCTATTGGCCATTGCATTAGAAACTGAATAGTAGATTGCCTAACAAATAACTTTTTTGATATGTGAAGTAAAGATGCCAAGAGGACTGAAACCTCTGTGAAGATCAACATCTGTGAAGAGAAATAATGGGGAAAGATATAAGCAAGTCTGGAAAAACTCAGAGGTTTTAACAAAGAGGAAAAAAATGAGGGGGGGAGGAAGAGGGGAATCTTAACTTCACCTAGATCCCAGGTGAGTAAGAACCGAGAACATCCTCAGTACTCCTAAAACATTGAAAAAGAAAATTGAAAAACTGGTTGGCAATGAAATGGCCTATCTTGAAAAAAGATCTGTCTGTCTGTAATGCAGCACAAGAAGTCTCGTACTGTACAGTGAGGATATTCTGTGGTGTTTTGTGGCATGTTCAGTTTGATAAATGTAAAGCAAATCTTAGCATGAATTTAGAGATTCCTACTGTAGGAGATGAGGGGAAACTTAGATAATTTCAGAAATCAAAAAATATCAGTATGTTAAGCAGATGAATAAATTTGCAAATTTCTATAGATAGTGAAATGAAAATTAATCAGCCTTCTAGAGAATCTGATATGGGGGTATAATTATATGAATTTGAAAGCAACTTAATAAAATTTTGATAAGATTTCTCATGTTTCTCAAGTAAGCATTGCATGTTCCTATTTCTAATGCCTCAGTCTGTTAAGTATTTACATGCCAAATACAGTAGAACTACCGGTATGTGCTTTATTACCTTTAAAATGTCATGATTCAAAACCGTAGAAATGGTGGTGGACTTTAGGAGAAACCCTTCCATACTTCCACCTCTCACAATACTAGACAACACAGTATCAACAGTAGAGATCTTCAAATTTCTAGGTTCTACCATATCGCAAGATCTAAAATGGACAGCTAACATAAAAAATTTCATCAAAAAAGCACAACAAAGAATGTTCTTTCTGTGCCAACTCAGAAAGCTCAAACTGCCCAAGGAGCTGCTGATCCAGTTCTACAGAGGAATTATTGAGTCTGTCATCTGCACCTCTTATAACTGTCTGGTTTGGCTCTGCAACCCAACAAGACAGACACAGACTTCAGAGGATAATTAGAATTGCAGAAAAAATAATGACTACCAACCTGCCTTCCATTGAGGACCTGTATACTGCATGAGTGAAAAAGAGGGCTGTGAAAATATTTACAGACCCCTGGACATAAACTGTTTCAACTCCTACCCTCAAAAAACGCTATAGAGCACTCCAAACCAGAACAACTAGACACAAGAAGAGTTTTTTCCCGAATCCATCACTCTACTAAACAAATAATTCCCTCAACACTGTCAAACTATTTACTAAGTCTGCACTACTATTAGTCTTCTCATCGTTCCCATTACCCATCTCCTCCCACTTATGACTGTATGACTGTAACCTTGTTGCTGGTATCCTTACAATTTATATTGATATTGTTTCCTGATTGCTTATTTGTAACCTATGACTATCATTTAGTGTTGTACCTTATGATTCTTGATGAACGTATCTTTTATTTTATGTACACTGAGAGCATATGCACTAAGACAAATTCCTTGTATGTATCACACTTGGCGAATAAAAATTCTATTCTGTTCTATTCTATTCTTTTCTATGATGTGCTGCTATGGTTTTCAATAAAATATTTGGAAATGGTTTGTTTAGCATGAAGTGATTTGTGTATGTGTGTTGTCTGAGACAGTATGGCATTTTACTCACAAGCAACCATAGCTGCCTGGAGCAGTGGCTTTTCACACTGTTGATTTCATGCAACATACTCATCTGAATCTCTTGTTTTCCATTGAATCTGTTGAGTGCTCTGCAATTTTGGTGGCTTCTCACAAGATCACTCAATGCAAACTAAAGATATCAACAAAGAAAATTTTTCACAGGGTATTTGAAAATTGGGACATGTAGACAGCCAAGGAGGATGCTAAAAGATGCATAACTAAAAATAACACTAACAATAACTCTGCATACTTTCAACAAAGAGGATACACTCAGACATGTTTTTTTTCTTGTGTCTTTTCAACAAAGACAGTCTTTGAAATTTTCTTTAGAAGTTACCTACCTGCTCATCATCTAAATAGTAAAATAATGCTGCAAGGCTCACAATAATAAAAACCAGTAACTAAAGCCTTGCTGTAATCTGGATTGATTATATGGTTTCACAGAGAAATTTACTCAAATGCAAGAGTCTCATAGACTTGATAATCTTGAATTTTATTTCACAGACTTGTTTTCTCCTGAATAAGGCTTGGCTTTTCCCATGTTTTTGTTTGAACATACATTAGAGTCCTTCTTGCTCTTTGAGCTTGGTTATTTGCTTGCAGACATTTCATTCCCTGACAAGGTAACATGATCAGTGAGTGTAGGGTTTGCTCCAAACAGCCTATTCAAATCTGTACAAACCTGAGCTATATACTGTATATACTGCATATTCTCTTCTATTGATCTTTGAGGGTGTGTGTGTATGTGTGTGTGTATGGTGTCTTTGAAGACCCAATTTAAACTGTCCAGGACAGTGACAATTTATAATTGAAAATCTCAAAGTAAACAATATATGGGTGCAGTCTCAATTACTGTACATGTGTGCATAATTTTGCTTGCATAAGATAGTGCCTCACCTGTATTTCTCTTCTTAATATATGTTTCTTGAACTATTATTCTACTTTTGTTTACTTGACACTCACCAGATGTTTCAGATCTACAGCTCCCAGAATTCTCAGCTAACATGGGGTTATCAAGTCAACATATCAAAGGTTATCAAATGGGGAAGGCAGACTGGGAATCTAGCATGAAGAATCTTGGTCTATCCAAGACTATCCAAGACTATCCAAGGACTGAAAAGGATTGTGGAGATCAAGAAGAGATCTGAGTATTTCCTAATTCAGAGATAGGACACCTGGTGCCCATGACAGTCAATGCCTTACCAACAAATCCTCCACCATCCCCTAAATTCCCTCTCCCATCTGACTTTTTAAATAGATTGTTTTAATTAAAAAATAAAATTAGGTGGAATCTGGCCATGCTGCAAACAAAGTGCCAACTTCTAGTATGAACTTTATTTACAAGTACAATATGCCTCTAGGTCTCTTATGCATTTTTAGAAAATAATAATAAAAAAACTTGGATGGCTCCGGTCTAGTGTTTTAAAAGGAAATCTGCCCACATCAGAAAGCAGCCAAATAACAAGCCATAGGAGGTCCAGGGACTATTGGCCATGATGAATGGTTACTTAGCGTTGGCTTGGGAATGGGGAGCATCCAGCTTACATTATGAAGAGGAAGCTGCTGTAGTCAATAGGCAAAACCAAAGGCCCTGGAGTGTTAATTCTGCACAACTCCTCTTGCAAATATACTCTCCATCCTATACACACACCTCTGGATTAAGTTAAAATTTGCAGACCAGAAGATCCCCAGACAGTATTTTTCTTTTGTCTTTTGATATATGTAAAACTTAGGATACTAGACACAGTGAATTCTGTGTGGCAAAGTGATGTCTGTAAAGAATCTGGAAAGGGAGGGGGGGGGAAAGAGACTATATATACTGCCCAAAGCTATAAATCCAAGACAGATATTTTTCCTGATCTATGACCAAAACATACTTTTTAAAATTTAAACCTACTCTTTCCCATCTGGTCTGAGTCGATGGGAAACTAAAAGTAGTTTCACACTACTTTACAAAGGATTTATTTTATGTTCTATTGCCATTCCACTTCAAGGTTATTGTTGGAGCCAGTAGGGATTTATGATCACAAAATAGTTGCTGGCAGCGCCAATGGTCAGCCACAATAATATATTGTCAAAAGCAACTTTGCACATTGGTTGATTAAATGTATGGGTAATACAGACTTGACCAGGCAATCTCGAGAATTGGGCATGGGGGGATATTTTTAAAAAATGATAATAGGCTATAGAAAATCCAGAAGTAGTAAATTTCATTAGCATCTGTGGTTTTATTGGCAGAGGGTGCCCTGAATGAAGCAGTATTCTCAGACTAGGGCAGGCAAAGTAATAAGATTAAGAATTTCCAGGCCTGAATTATCACCTTTATAGGACCTACTGGAACTTCAATGGCATCTTGAAGACCTGAATTGGTAGCTATAAGACTCTTCCCACTGTAATGTTTTCATGGCAGACCTTAAAGGGACAGGGCAACAACTTCTACATCTATCATAATGCCGGTATATAGTTAAAATCAAGACTTGGCTACTATTCTCTGAATGAGAATAATATCTTATTTCAGCATGGCTTTCCACACTCTTTGGATTCACAGCACATATTCTGACTGGTTCTCCTGAAACTCTTTCCCATTAGAAATATATCTTTTCTCTTATAAGCCTTCCATGTATTACTGAGAATAAGGTACTTCCAATCTGAAATACTGCTAGTTTCATTTGTGCACCAAAGCATTAGAAATGTGCTCCTGCTTACATAAATAGGGGCATTCAAGCTCAGTGGCCTTCTATAAAAAACTAAATGGAATGGAGGGAAACTAACTGGACAAGATTAAGATTGTGTTCACTGATGTTTTTGGACTATCAAATTAACTAGAGAGCTCAGCTAGAATGGAATTAACAAAAGGAGATGGAAAGGTTGATCTCTGCTTTCCAGAAACTGATAATAGGGAAATTATTAATTTCATTTTTAAAAAATCTGGATCAGGTATGCCATATTGAAGGAAAGTCTATTCAATCCTGTGCACATTTGCAGACAAAATTGTATTTAAAAAAATCCAACATACACTGTAACAACCAAACTCTACAACTGCAATGCCTAGTATTCAAATGTCATTTTGCAATCAAATACAAATGATGTTGTTGTCCTTTTCATTGTGCCTACTGAGCAGCACTTCTATCAAAGCCACTGTGGTTCATTTAGTGAAGACTCTAATCTAAATAGGAACAACTATCCACAATTTTTCGAAAAAATACTCTATGCAGACAGGCTCATCCCGAGTTGACATAAACTACCTTTAATATATGATCATGCTGGACTTATTTAAACCATGTGTAGAAAGGGGTAACAGGCTGACCCACTGGCTTATCAAATGAGAATGGAATGACAGTCTATTATGAAATACTCATCTTAATACTTCCCATTTATCCTTTTAAGGCACAGTGACTCCTTGTCCTCCAAACTAAATTAGAATTGTTAATCTGAGTTTTGCATAAAATTTTATAAGCATCTATCCTATACTGTCCTGTCCTGTCCCGTCCCGTCCCATCCCAGCCCATCCCATCCCATCCCAGCCCAGCCCAGCCCAGCCCAGCCCAGCCCAGCCCAGCCCAGCAACCATCTGCCCAGGCTTTGCTGGACTTAGCAAAACTCAAAGTAGTATTTTGTGCTTGCATTTGATTGAAACTTGCCATCATTTTTCCCATCTCAAATCTTTTCCTTGACTGCCCTATAGTGCCTGAGTACCACTGACCCCATAATAATCTCACTCATCTACAGGGCTTTCTTGGCATGTACTCACAATGGTCAGATTGCAAGAACCATTCTGAGTCCAGGACAGATTAATTCATTACTAAATTCAACATTCTCCCTAAATTGAATGTTCTCCCTCCATCATTCCCCTCACTTCTCCATCAAGACATTTTATGCCCGTAACATTCTTTTAAAAGAAATTCTTGTTTTACACTTCCCATTTTAAATGTGCCAGCTGTATCAAAACTTCAGCAGAATGGCAAATCCAGACCAGAAACTGATAGAAAGTTTTGAACGGAGATAAGGTGGGTAAGCACCATCTCATCCTGTCTCTGGTGAATGGAATCCATTTACTCCCTGTCGTGGATTCAGACTTTCCCCAATTTGGAACACAACCATATTAATTCCTCTAGCCTGGTTAGAGGCTCTCTGTAATCTCCACTTTTATTTACTTTTACCCAACCTATCTGTCCATCTTCCCCAGCTGTGCTTTTTAGAGGTACCAGCAACAAACTTTTTATCTACAAAACAGGCAGTGCTGTATAACACAGCTACCTCTTTCCCTCAATTGTTTGCTTATAATTTTGTGGTTTGTGCAAATGCCAATTTTTCTGCTTAAGGGAAAACACCACATGATTCTCCATCCTCATTCTAACTTCAAGGGGCATTAAAATCAAGGGTAGTTAAATTAGTTTGGTAGTTGAGTCCAAAAACACATCCTAAAGGCCCTTTTCTATGATAGTAACAGATTACAATATTTGATTTTTTTCATCTTTGCATAGCAACCCACATCTTCTGCCTTCCTCTGCTTTTAAGTTCTCTGGATAGTGCCAGTTTCAGGCAAGTGCAGAGCTAACAGACGTGAACACAAAAACAAATCAAGGTAGTCTCTGTGTTCAGGAAACAGGTCAATTATACAAGACATGCCTATGGGATTACCAAAAGTTTTGGCAAAAACCATTACTCATAGCCTGATCCTGTTGCCCTATAGGGAATTTCCTAGACATGTCTCCATTGTCATGCTATGTGTTGGATCATTACATCTGTAGTTATGGTAATTACTCCAAAACAGTTTCAGTGTCAAGAAGAGGAACCACATAAAATGCTTAAAATGCATGTTAATGTTTTATAAAGTTTGCATGTAGGATGAACTAAGAAAGATGTGGAAACTGAGAGAAGTTTCATTTACCATAATGGAACATTATCAAATCCAGTGTGCTAATTA